TAGACACATAAACAGCGAATTACAATAATCCAAGCATGAAGAAATAAATGCACGTATAGCAATCTCCAGTTCAGAGCGAGATAACATCGGGCTCAGCTTAGCCACATTTCTGAAATGATAAAAACAAGACCGAACCAGAGATTTCACATGCCCATCCAATGTGAGACTCGAGTCAGATTCCTGATAGAGGATTTAACACAGAGTGAGAGAGGACCGAGGGCTTTCACTAGCTGCGATAGAAACCTATCAGGGGCGCATACGAGGACTTCGGTTTTCCCTCGTTGAGTTGGAGGAAATTTGCAGCCATCCAACGTTTGATCAAATCTAAGCAATCATTCAGACGCTGAAGCTTAGATAAATCCTGGGGCATAAAAGAAACGTACAACTGAATATCATCAGCATAACAGTGATAAGAAATGTCCTCAAAAGAGCCCATTATATGCTGGAGGGGGAGAAGATATTAAAAACAATAAAGGCCCCAAAACTGACCCTTGAGGGACACCATAAGTAAGGGAGGTAGAGGATGACCTAAAACCGGAGACTGCCACAGAAAAGGATCGGTGATGGAGATAAGAGGACCACTCTAATGCAGTTCCAGATACACCAACACAATTTTTCAGCCTTTCAATGAGGACGTGATGGTCAGCTGTGTCGGAAGCTGATGTGAGGTCCAACATGAGTAGAACAGAGCATTTTCCTGCATCATCATTCATCAAGATATCACTAGAGACCCTAAGAAGAGCTGTCTCCGTGGAGTGAAATCGACGAAAACCGGACTGAAACTTATCGTAAATGCCATGTTTATCAGGAGCTGCCATAAGCTGCTGAGCCACAACCTTTTCTAGAAGCTTAGCGATTAACGGTAACTTAGAGAGAGGTCTGTAGCTGCTCCTAAGAGAGGGGTCAAGCTGAGGGTTTTTAAAAGTGGGAGAATAGCAGCATTTTTAAAGTAAACCGGAACTATACCAGATGCCAGTGAAGAGTTGATTAAAGTGAGCACACATGGGCCAATAGACTGGAAGACATTTTTGAACAATGATGCAGGTACAGTGTCAAGTGAACAGGAGGATGCTTTCACTGAATTCACTAATTTTACCAGCTCAGGCAGTGAAACAGGAGAGAAAGTATCCAAGATAGCGGGTCAACATGGGGCAGAGATCGAGATAACAGGTGCTGAGTGTGTAAAACTCATTCTCACGTTATGAATCTTTGCAAGCAGAAAAGACAGAAAATGTTCACAGCCGTTAGAAAAAATCGGGGCCGCAGGCAGAGTAGGAGTAACAATGTCACCAATGGTGTGGAATAGCACCTTAGGATTGCCTCTGCTCTTTGTAACCAAGTGTGAGAAGTGGGCAGCCCTCGCATCTCTGATCGCATTATTAAAAGAAGCTAAAAGGTCCTTAAGATAGAGGAGGTGAACATTTAGATGACTTTTCCTCCACCTGCGCTCCGCTTTACGACAATCACGTTTTAGACAACAAATACTGTCATTTAGCCAAGGAGGAGATTTAGAGGCAGAAACACTCCTCGTCTTAACCGGACAGATTTCATCTAAAATAGAAATATAGCAATAATTATTAAAAAGACTGGTTGAGAAATCAACACCATTTTGAGGAGATAGCTGGATGCGAGAGCTAACCATCCGTCTGACGGGGGACAAAGGCTCATTAAAAGACAAGTTAAAAACTATAACATAGTGATCAGAAATAAAAATGTCCTCAGAGCGAATAAAATCAATATTTAAACCCAAAGTAAAAACAAGGTCCAGTGTGTGAGCTTTGCTGTGTGTAGGACACATGCTGAGCAAAATGAAAAGAATCCATAATGTTCATAAAGTCTCTGGCGAATAGGTCGGAGTCATCATCAACGTGAATGTTAAAGTCCCCAACTATAAGCACTCTAGACAGCCTCATAGTAGCGGATAAGAAGTCGCTGAGCTCCGATAAAAATAACCTGTTATATCCAGGTGGACGATACACCACAGCACAGCTCAAAGGATCCTTGTTACCAATTTTAAGCAGCTGCAGCTCAAACGAACAAAAATGTCCAGTTTTCACGGAGCGGCAGGAGAAACGGTCCTGGAAAGCCACAGCGAGCCCACCACCCCGACCAGACAACCGAGGCCGGGTAATAAAAGTACAGCCATCCAGGCCGAGTTCAATAAGTGACGAGTAGTCTACATCCCGCTGCCAGGTCTCAGTCAGGAGTAAAAAATCCAGTTTTTTAGATAATATAAAATCATTCAACAAGAATGATTTATTAGAGAGAGATCGAGCGTTAAAATCCGCCATATTCAGTGAGCTAGAAGCCTCATTATTTGCAGAGGCTCGAGTTAAGGGACGTAAATACACAGGGTTCGAGCCGTCACGCTCGTGGAGTCCACTCACCGAGGGAAGAAAAAGCCAGCCCGCAGAAGAGTCTGGATAAACCCTCCTGAGGTGGCACGGTCTCAAAGAGCCAGGCCCAGCGCATCCAAACAAGGCCGTGGAAAACAAGTCGCCCTCCATGGAGCTTTTCTGGACGCAGGAGACAACGCACGCTCAACGTCGCTTACCAGCCAAACCACGCCGCCAGTAAAGCCCGAGCTTTCCCTGAATACCTCCTCTTCTCCCTCTCCTTCTCTGTGGTCTAGAGCAGGGGTGTCAAACTCAAACACACAGTGGGCCAAAATTCAAACTGGAACAAAGTCGCGGGCTAACATTAATATTTATTGAAAAATATCTTCCTCCAGATTTAAGAATGAGTCTTTTCTTATGGACTCAAACACGTTTTGCTGGAAAATTGAATATGGAACAAGCAAAGCTTAATACTAAACAATATATATATTAGCTGTATAATACCAGTAGGCCAGCTCTGATAGTAATTTGGTATGGCTTCGCGGGCCAAATATAATTAGGCTGCGGGCCAAAGTTGGCCCGCGGGCCAGAGTTTGACACCTATGCTCTAGAGGGACCACTGAAATCGCCTGACGAGGATCCAGCTAATGGAGGAGGGTGGAAAATGCCAGAGGACGACGAGACATCGTGTGGCATCATGGTAAATAGCCTGGCTTTGCCAGGCGATCATACACCAGAGCAGCAAATACATCATTAAAACTGAGTGAGAACAGTAGAGCAGAAAAAACAACACAACAGTAGTAGAGCGCGACAAACTGCACCCGGCAGCGGCAGAGCCAAACACCATCGCCAACATACCGGAAACTATGACTCTAAAGTCTAATGTCTGATCAATTATTAGCAAAGGATGATGTTGTCTGAAGTTTTAAAATAGATCCAAATGAAGGCACGAAAACACTTACGCTGAGGAAAGTTGGGCCAGAAGCTTCTTATTTTGCCACATATGTAACCTCAGAGCTGTAGCCAAGATCCAACCATTAGTCATGGCTGTAACCACTGAGGGCTTCTTTTTCTTTCTCAAAGCCAGTGTCATTTTTCCCAATTGACTACAATATCAAGACTGAAATATTGCCTTCATACACAAAGTCAACAAAAGCAAGGCATCTTAGATGATCTTGTGCAAACAGAGGGGTACAAGGTGTGCATGTAATGCGTGTTTTTCCATGTCATATTGTTGATGATGCTGATTATTACCAAACAGCCACACAATCAGCTGGAAAATGGCTCCATTTCCACAAACAGTGTGATGGTTAGATGAACAGTGCGGCTGTATGAAGCCAGCAACTCAATAAAAACGATGTAATGGAACAGCTGCCTCCCTCAGTATTTTTTCCTTAACAATATTATGTCCATGAACACATTTGTGATATTAGAACTGCAACTGAAACTGTATTGAATTATAGTCAAAATATATATAAACTAATACTGTAGCTTCGATATTTAATCTTGGATTAAATATTTGTTTGTAGGATGAAATTCTGATCACTGCTAATGCACTGGCTACTTGTCTTTTTTGTTTTATGACCTTTGGTCCCTCGCAGCTGTTTACCAGATGCAGAACATACGTGTTTGTGTTTACCTTAGCTAATTCATGCTCCACGTAGCTAAATGTTGTTGTGCAAAAGTTGATTCTGTTCATCTGGACGTAGCGTTTTGTGGGAGAAACGTTTCGTCACTCCAAGTGACTTCTTCAGTCTCAGCTGACTGCAGGTTTCCTCAAATCTTATAAACAGGACATTTTATAAGACTGGGGAAACCTGCAGGACACCGGCCCTCGAGGCCTGAGTTGGCCGCCCCTGCTTTAAATTGTCCAACAAACTTTTGCCCTGTGAATTACAAAAATGGGGTTTTAACCTGTTTGCCAAAAATGGGAATCCATCTATCCTGTACATTTCCTTCGGGCCATTTACATACCTAAAAGGGGCAATTTTCTCAAAAACTTGTGGTGGTAAAAATGAATATGCCTGTAAGGAGGTTGGGGGTACCAAATCATGAGTTAGCCTGGGGTATCAGAAAGGTTAGATCCAGCCCTGCATGTAACCACCGCACTGCTGTCTTTGGGAAGAGTCTCAGAGATACTTTCAGATCAGTCCAAGTGTCTTATACAATGATGCCAGGACATTATTACTGAAGAGAACTTCAGAGAAAGCTACACGAGCAAACAAATCTCATGCAACTGCAGTTTTATGCGTCTGAAAATGAAATCTGTTGCTCTATCGAGTATGAGATATCCATTTAACCTTACTTTATGTGATTTTCTACGAACCATCGGACCTATAGACAGATCAACCTCACCTCAACTTAACCTGGAGTCGCTTTGGGTTTAACTGTTTCTGAAGCCCATGATGGTACTATATACCAGTGCGCCACAAGGCCGCGCCACTGGGAGCGTGGATGTGCTCTCCCACATTTGTTTTCACTGCTCTGACGTCAGAAACCTGCAACTGAACGAATGAACTAACGGAGCACTGAGCCCCTACCGGAGCTACCGGGAGGCAGTAGTGTTACAGAGCGAGTCCCCGCCGCCGCCCGCCCCGGAGGAGCCAAACGGAAGAACCGAGCAATGCGCACCGCCGCCCAGTAACGCAGAATAGACGAGTGGAGAAGAAGAAGAAGAAGAAGAAGGGAACCGTTATCGTGATTTACTAACGGAGGAAAAAAAGAGAAAAGAAAGACACGGATAAAGGACGGACCAGCTCCGAGACCACGCGTGAGAAGCGACCAGCTGCGGAGGCTATATCGTCTCGGTGTTGCGCTGTGGATCAAACCGAGCGGATCCCTGATTTCAATGCTTTAACGGTGCTTCTACCCGGCTGCCCAGAAAGAAACAGAGGGATCGTAGAGGGATCGAAGCCTGAGCAGAGAAAAGGGGGGCAATAAACCAGCGAAGGAAAGAAAAAGGATTTGCAATTGAAGTTTCATTCATTCGTCTAATTATTGCGCTTTCTTCCGTGGATCCCGGTACCGATACTCTATCAAGCTGTGTTCTCTGACCATGGGATGTACTCTGAGCGCAGAGGAGAGGGCGGCTCTGGATCGGAGCAAAGCCATCGAGAAAAACCTGAAGGAGGACGGCCTCACCGCGGCCAAAGATGTTAAACTGCTGCTGCTCGGTAAGAGACTTGGCTTTAATGCTCTTCTCTTCGGCTGGTAGCGCCAGGGCTGAGAAATGAGACCCTGGGGCCGTGGGAAGGTGTGGTGTGTGTGCGTGTGCGCGCGCGCGTGGGTGGGTGTGGGTTGGTGGTGGAAATAAAGAAAGAAAAGAGAAACTGTCGACGTCTGTCACAAACTATATTCAACAACAAGAACAAAGATGCGTTATGATTTTTTATTGTGCATTTGAAGGAACCCTTCCTTCCTATTGCGTCGTTTTGAAGCCACCTGCTTGAATAACGGCAGATGGTCCCAATGTTTTAACGCGCAATCAGTCAGTGGGTCGGTAAAAGACGACATCTACACCAGAGATGTTAGCTGCAGATGGAAGCCAAGGCGAAAAAATGGCAGCATGCAGCAGTGGAGGGCCCCGCACAGGCAGCACTGCTTCATTGGTTTGGGATTGATTCATTGATTCTTTGCGCGAAATTAACCTCGAGTGTTTAATCTGTTTGACTCTGTTGCAAGATGGAGGATGGAAGAGGCTGAGGAAGAAAGGCTTCAGCCACTTTGTCCATCTCTTTCATCTCCACCCGCTGCTGCTGTGCTGTGCACATACCTCCCTGCCTCTCTCTCTCTTCCCTACCCCTCCTCTCTGACACTCTATCTCCATCTTTCTGTCAAACACACACACACACACACACACACACACACACACACACACACACACACACACACACACACACACACACACCCTGTTTATATTGTCTTCTTGTCTCTTATCCCTCAGGGGCCGGAGAGTCAGGGAAAAGCACCATCGTCAAACAGATGAAGTAAGTCTTTCATAACCACGGTCTAATAAACCTATATAGTGTGCATGTGTGTCCTTTTTCTTATGCCCCCCCCCCCACCCACACACAGACACATAGAACACATCAACAACAACACACACACACACACACACACACAACACACACAACACACACACACACACACACAGGTGCTGCACTGTTGACAGCCTAGTGTAACATTTTTATCTGATGCAAAAATGGATCCAGATTTAATGTTTAGCTACTAAAAAAACCACAATTTTAGAAACATATGATTGGTCTGGAGTTTCCAAGTTTGTGCATCTGCAAAAGGACGACTGTATCGTTTGACGGTTGCAGGATGAATCATTGGTTACGGTTATGTTCAGACAGATGCAGTGGGTTTTCTCACCCACTGCAGTGACTGGGTAAGTTATGCATTCACTGTCCATTTTAAAAGCACTGAACTGTTGTTTTGTTTTTTTACTGTTAAATCCTGTAATAATACATTGTAGGAGGATTAGTTTGTGTAGACACCAGGGAAACGCTGCTACCTGTTACCCTGGTTGAATGATAATGTTCCCACACAAATGACTACCATCATTATATAATCGTGATATTTTATTGAGCTTAAACACTTTATCCATTAGCGATGGGGCTGACTGACTCTAAAGTAAGAACTATTCTCATTTTATTCTGTATTGTTTTTTTTTTCAGGCTCTCAAATTATTTACTTGTTGATTTTTTTTCCTGGTGGGAGTGGTTGGGATGAGGCTTATAGGCCATCATGGACCAGTAGCTGAAAACTGAAACGAGAAACTGAGTGCGACAATCTTTGACCCAAAATGTGACGTAGCCGTTTTATTGTTGTAATATTTTTACTGAAACATTGTTTTACCCTGTGAAGGCTTACACAGTTACCAGATGTGAGTCCAGTGTAGCTGTGGCACATCTGGATTTCTCCTGTTGAGATTTAGGGCTGAGTTCAGGGGCTTAAAGTAAAGATTTCTTTCTCCTGTGGACTCACAACGATGTGCGTAATGATCCTTCTATCAGGACTTATCTGTGGCAACCTTATCATACTCCTAATGCTGTTTTTGTGTTTACAGCGTCGCTGCAATAATCCTATAAAGCACCTACAGCATTTACTATAGTTCCTCTGTAAGGCTGGCCGCACATAGGCTGCCCCCCCCCCCCCCCCCGTCCTTTTCTTTCAAATCTGTAATCCCATTATGACATATGGTTTTCCATCAGTCTTCTCCGCTGGTGTATTTTAGCCGATAATAGGCTTGCTTTGGTTGTGCATGCATGGCGACGCATCACATGACGGACACGAGTAGATCCAGATGAGCCTGTTGCTCAGCTGTTAATGGTCCTTCCAGCAATGGACCAGTCCTCCCAGTGGGTTCACTGGAGTCGTTGTATGCATTGGACTGATGTAATTCGTGCACTTATAAAACCTGGCGTTAATCCATTTAGGTCTGAGTCTGTTGGTTTGATAGATTTATCTAGACGGTGCCGACAAGGTTGTTACTTTATATCCTTTATTACATAAGACAGCGTGGATGTTTTTGACTTCTGCTCATCAATTGACACGATTTCCTGACAAAAAGGAGCCAGTTATTGCTCTTCACATCAGTCCTGCCACCTCCATGTGTCTGCTGTCTGGTTACAGTCTGCAAGAATGGATGTCATGTTCAAACTATTCTTGGTTTTATCCACTACGCTCTATACTCTTATCAGGGTTCGTTCTATTTGCGGGTATCGAGCAGCGTGATGCAGCGGGACCACATCAGAGGCATTTTCAAAGTGCCAGTAATGGACTACTGTATAAATTGTAAAATTAGAGCATTTGTGTTTCTTTATAAACAATCGAAAACTTTTTTTTCCAAAGTGGCGGTCAGCGCCCTGTGAGGGAAGCCTTTTAGATGCTCTGGAAACTCCTCGCTGCATTTTCTTTCACAGTGTGCTTTCAACAGCGGGGCGTGCCCGAGTGACCTGCTGCTGTTAGTGGACTGCTTTCTTCGCACAGGGAGGACGAGTGGATTAGATTAAGGTTTAGATTTAACGGCGTGTCCACTGAGCTGCGGCGTATCCGTGTGGCAGCTGCGTGTGTGTGATCTCAATGATTGGAAGTAGGGAGTCTATTATAGCAGCACTTTGTATAATACAGCATAGACACAATAGTGTGCACTGTGCACAGGTGAAGTCGTTTAGGTCTGTGCCCGTTCTCCTTTAGAATGCAGATTATTGCTTTCCGATGTGATGCAATCACTGAATGACAGCAGCTCATGACAAAGCAGCGATAACGTCTCTGAGGGGAACGCAGGTGCTCGTCGTTGGTGCGTGTTAGCGATAGTGGATTAAGTACAGCAGTGTGTGGATGACTAAGCTCTGATGGTGTGAAGCTACAGCATGGTAGGACTGCACTTCTGAGACAGTAAAGAGGAAGCAGGATGACGAACTGAGGAAGAACATGTTTGACTGTGCAGAGATGGGGAACTGGTTTCAGAATCATGTGAATGACTGGATTGTGTGCGTTTTTGCATAAGTACGTAAACGATGTTATCTCGTGTGTAATGTTTGGGCCGCAAACTCGAGGGACCTGGTCATGTGTTAACAGCATATCACTGTGTGTGTGTGTGCGTGCACGAGGAGACACCATCTGTTTATGGGGCCTGTGTGTGTTTAGACGTGTGCAAATGTTCTCTCGATGCCCAGCTGGCAAACTGACCTCTCCAGCAGCGTTCACTGTGAGCATGTGAGAAAACTAATTTAATGTCGGATATTTTCATATCATCAAACAGGAGCGAGGAAGAAGCCGCCGTCAGGCAAAGTGAGGAAGATATTAGAGGTTGTTCCCAGCAATGTGACTAAGTACAGCCCTCTGTCCTGTCAAGTGGCTGTGAGTAGGCTGCACTCTGCCCTGAAAGGCTTTGCTTTGGGGGCTGCTCCTGGAAGGGCAAACTCCAGAGATGGGTGTAAGCGTACCAGGAAATGGATTAATTATTTCTGGAGATGTAAGATTTATATTTTATAGGTTTGCCTAATGACCTAGCAGCAGTTAAAGGATAAAATAGCAAAATCGGTGCTGAAACAAGTGGAATTTCCAGCTTCCAGTTTCAAATCATAGCGTTCAAGATCCAAACACTGCTGTTTTATAGCTGACACGCTGCGCTCGTGGACATTTTACAATGCTACCATAGCCTTTATTTATTTTTGTAAACCATGTTTTTGGCCCTCAGGTATGCAGATGTTTGAAATGACTCAAAGGGTGAGGTGTTACCAGCATGCTTGTATTTTGGTCCTTGCGTAGTCGTAAAGCCTCAGTTTAGCTGAGCTGTCATGCTTATCACACATTCTAATCACACATTGGTCTGTAAAAAGAAAAGTCATAAAGGAGGCATTCATGACATCTTTTGACACGTTATTAAATGTCTGTGTAATTTCTCTTTCAATAACTGACAGAATACAACACATGCAAGCCAAGACTGTTAAACACATCATGAGTTAAATGCACTTCATAGTCACAGAGTAACAGAGCAGGCCTGCATTGCTCACTTAATAAAGATGTCGTTGAGTAACTGACTTTTACCCAAACAGGGCAGGGACGCTCGTTTCATCATCCCTGCTTAGGAACGTTTAAAGCGGTGGGAATGTTAAGCTCGGGATCGCGACGTGCTCAAACAAACCAACATCAGTGATTATTGGTTTTTGGTGTTTTTCTGTGGAGATTTATGCAGTAAAATGGTTATTCTGAAGTAGTTCATTCAACATGAAATATCAGCTTTCAATTTTGTATTGATTTAAACTGACGTGAAGAAAATTGTGAACCAAACTTATATGAATTCATAAATCTTTATCCAGTTATTTTGATTAGAGTGTGTTTTAGCATCAAAGCAATTCAGTCAGTTATTCTCTTTGTGTGTGTGTTCCTGTCTAGCTATCTTTGTGAGGACCAACAGTCACTTGTGAGGACACACTCACCGGTCCTCACAAGTTTGAAGGCCTTTTTGAGGCTAAAAATGTGGTTTTAGTGTCAGGGTTACAGTTAGGTTTAGGGTCAGGCGTTCATTTGTAATGGTTAGGGTGAGGGGCTGGGGAAACCATTATGTCAATGAAGGTCCTCACTAAGATAGCTAAACAGGCTTGTGTGTGTGACATACAATGCCTTCTTTTCAGAATCAGAATCAGAATCAGAATGGGGTTTATTTTCTGTATTTCCCTCTCGTCTTTATCTCTGGCTTTCTCAGTCTGTGTATATGTGCGCTTGTGTCTTGCTGACACGATCGGAGGCGACCGGCCGAAGGGAGAACAAACGGCGTCCGTCCCTCGCGGCTGCGCTGCTTCCCACAGGCTGTTCCCACCGTGTGTGTGGTTTCTCTCTCTAGAACACAAGATAATTGGGTTTAAGCCTCAGAAGAGGAGAATAGAAGGGGGAAGGGAAGCAAAACTGAGGGAAAGAGGTGGTGGTGTTTTGCTCAGAGAGGCAAAGGAGCGTTATAGATGGAAGGAGGCAGAATTTAATGAAGGCAAAAAATACCCAGCACATAGAAACGGGGCAAAGAATTGCAGTCTGCAAACAGGGGATAGAAAAGACTGAAATTACAGGAGAAAATAGGAAATGTGACAGTGATGGAAACAAGGATGAAGTAGGAGAACAAGAAAGGAAAGAGGGAACACAAAGAGCAAGGAGGAGAGTCCCAGGGACAACACACTGAAGCAGTGAGGCACGAGAATTCAATTTCTTCTTTCTCAAAGGACAGAAAAGTGTTGTGGGAGTGTGAAAGGAAACAGGATAGGAGAGAAGAGGGTGCAGCGATATACGAGGAGGGAGGATGAGTGTGAATCAGACTGGGAAGGTAAGAGGAGGAAGATGAAGACATTTTGAGCTACAGAGGAGAGATCGGCAAGTGAAACAACATGTTATAACTTATTCAGCAAGCTAGAAGAAGTGACAAAGAGAGTCAAGGACAAAGAGCAAAGAGCACTTCTCTCCTGGACTCTGCTCTCCTTGATAATTA